GAGGGGGAGGGTGGGAGGAGGGGCCGGGACTGACTTCGCAGTGAGAAACCCGACTCACAGGGGGGCCGTGAGCAAGGTCAACCACCACCGCGAGGGCAGGAGGGAGCTCCAGCTGGTATCTTGGGTGAGGAGAAGAGAAGGGCCCTGACCTCTTTCCTAGAACGCACCAGGCCCTGGGAGAGAGCGCGGCAGAGGGCGCCAGCAGGGACTTGTTCCCAAAACACAGAACCCCGATCTTAGGAGAAAAGCACCAAATCCCAGTAGAGGAGCATTCTACAAAATCCCCAACCAGCGTTCCTCAAAACCGTCCAGGCTGTCAAAGACAGGGGAGTCCGGGACCCCTGGCAGAGGCTGTGAGGAAGTCCAGGTGGGGGGAACCTGTCGGGGCTCCCCGTGCTCAGAGGCAGGACGCTGGAAGGTGCCTGGAGCTGAGGGCTGGCGGGATGTCAGAGGGAAGGGTGGTGGCCGCAGCACCAGGGCCTGGCCCTTCTAGGAGCTGGGAGGGGATCCCAGGAGAGGGGGCCGGGCAGAAGCAGAGCCTGCAGGGGCCTGGGGAGGAGGAGCTTCCAGGTGACTGGTTCCCCCACCCTGGGCCTCACACATAGCCAGTGTCCTGAGTTTCACAGGGTCTGACCCCCAACCCACTCCCAACACATGGGCCTCATCCTGGGTGAGTAGCATGAGGGGGCGGCCCTTCCAGTCTTCACGTCTAGATTCAACAATCCGGGGACCATCTTCAGGAATGAGAGAACTGTTTCTAGAAGCTTCCTGGCAGTATTCCTCCTCATGGCCCTTTGGTCAGAGGGGATGGTGAGTTTCTCCGCCAGTCGCTGCACCGAGAGGCGGCCCCCACTGCCTAGACTCACCAGCGTTGCCTGGACCTGCTCTCCTGGGTTGGAGAGGAGGTAAGCTTCCCCAGCGCGTGGGTGGACCTGGGAAGGGTTGCTGGGTGGGCGCCACGCACCGCCAGTCGGAGTGGGTCCCTGGAGCCAATGGGCCCTGCAGGGTCCAGGGAAGAAACTGTCTAGGCTCCTGGCGTTGGCAGTACCTCAAGAGAACTAGAGGGGCTGAGGTTTATTTGAAAGACGGAAGGAATCACTAGGATCTTCTGGTGGAGGCGAGAGCTTGGTGGAAGAAGTCAGTTCTTCATACAAGTGAGACGTTACCTGACGGTTTTCCTAAATTCAGTTTCCAAGTCACCACACCCAAGGCACAGAAGCACTATGCCCTTAGGAGCCTGTGCCCTCAGAGAGGAGCCGGCACCCCTATCACGAGCATAACAACAGGAAATCCAATAAGAGTCAGCACCTAATTTACCAGGGATGTTTCCTGTCCCCGCCAACGGCTTCAACAAATGCTCCAGTCCTAAGCACTTAGAATCAATTTGGCCCAATTTGGAGTAATTTTTAAAGGGAAAAAAAAAGCAAACATTGTGTTCAATCAATTCCATGTTTAATATAATTATGCCACTTAAGACTTCGATATGATTAGATTTAAAATATGAATGTCTAGGTAGAAAGTAAAACATAATGGCTTTTATTAAACCGGCTCCAGTCAAAAGCCTCGTTCAGGTTTCCCATGGTTTCTGTCCGTGTTTCCTGCTGACTTATTCTTCTCACAAACAACTTCTGAAACACTCAAGCCCACCTTCCTCAACGTGGATGTGACCGTCCTGTCGTGTGCAGAACATGATCACGTTGGCTCTGCTCAGAAGGCGAGCCCGTGCCAATTTGTATTATTACCTGGAAAGGAATCCTGTAATGAATAAGCCCCAGACAAATCACGGCTCCCTGTTCATCCGGGCGCTCGCGCTGTCGGCAGCCTTGTAAGTACTCTGAAATTGCTCTGAGCTGTTACTTTGATGTCCTCTGCAGCCCACGTTTTGCTATAAACCTTATACTTCATTTGGAGGCAATATAACTCAATTTATCCACAAACTTTTAAAGAAAAGTGAGCCATTTCCCAATGCAAATTACTTCTGGAATGTGAGATGCTATCTCATAAATGCGGCCACTCTAAAATTGATAAGGACTGCGCTGGAAATTAGGACACTGCGAATTCAAAGTAACTCGACATGGTAGATGGGGGGTGGCTGTGTTGTCGGTTGTGTCTTCCTTGGGCCCTTCAGAGAGCTGTTGCAATTTTTAATGATTGATAATATCTCCTATGGGCGAGGTGTGGGCGCTGTCATAATATGCCAGCAGTATGCATATCGGTTCAGCCTCGTTGGGAGGCACCATGGCAACAGGGATTAGCCTGACCAGGATGCACCTACTAGCATTTGTCAGCACAACTTCACTTGTGGATACTAGACTGGAGACAGCCTCTTGCAAAGAGCCAACAACAGGTGCTCCTCATAGCACCGGCTGCAAGAGGAGCCCTTACCAACAACCTGGGATCCATCAAGGTTAGCATAAACGGTAATGTGCGTAAGCTCAAAACGACCAGCCAGGGCTACCAGTCTTTTAGACCCTTGAGAGAAGGAATGTCGACAGAGATGACTCGAGTCTGAGTCACCCTGGGTGACGCACCCTCAGTTTCTGTGTGTGGTCAGGGAGGTGTTTGAAGAGGATCTGTGCTATGGGATTGTTACAGTTAAAGCTTTGTCCCAGGGTTTCATAAACTGACTCACGTATAATCGAATCAAGCCTTTATTGAAGCACACCGGTGGCGGCTGACCAGAACATAGAGCTGTTCCCCTGATCAGCCCAGAACAGTTGCAAGGGCACTCCTTATGAGCCTGAAAACGGCAAAAGGGATGTTCAGGGGGTCCAGCCAATGCAAGCCAGCCAGGTTACAGAAGCGGGACGGTGCGGTCAAGCGGAGGGAAGCCTAACCCATCACAGTTAGCCCAGTCACCCCAGTTACAGAAACAGAGCCCCGTTACCCTAGTTACAGAAACAATACCCCATGAGGTAGTTCATGTTCTTACAGGTTTCTATGGCAAAAGGAAGAGAACATCTTGCTCCAGTCATGACTCTTCTACTTGGCACAGTTCTTTTACAGGATGAAGTCATAAAACAAATGGAGTCACATTTGTTCCTACGATCACCGGATCACAGGTGCATGGCCGAACACACGGGGACGCACTGATGGAGACACTGTGGTTTCCCATGTGACACTGGCCTTTTTAATTTCATTCCTGGAGTTATGAACTACAAAGCTCATTTTCCAAAGCGGTGAGTGATTGTCGCAGGACAGGTGAAGGCCTGAGGAACGTCCCTCTGCTGCCCAGAGCAGCGACTCTCTCTCCCTTCGTAGTGACAGTGACGATTCTAGAGAAGATTCCACCTCTCAGCGCCTTGACACGGGGACGCTGCCCTTGCCCGTCCCTGGCTGTCTTTTATCCCTTTTTTCACAGTACAGGGGCGGGAACCCAGGGCCTCGCACGTGCCAGGCAAGTGCTGTCCCCCTGAGCTCCCCACCAGCGCTTTGTCCTTTGTCCTTGAGACGATGGAGCATCCCTTCCATGGATGGGCCTCCCACATCTGTGTCAGAGCCAAAGTCACCCTGACCTCTGCCCTGTTGGCACGGTGTGCTCTTCCTTCTCTGCCACCTAGAGCCAGCATGTGGCTTGTGAGATTAAGCAGGCAGCGCTCCTGGCCCGCGGGGAATGATGGGTGGAGTTTTGTTGGTTTTTCTTTTCCCTCTGTCTCAGGTTTTCAGTGCCTGTCTCTCCTACGCCCAGAGTTATTTAGCCTCTTTGTGCATCTGTTACTCCATATTAAAAACAGGGCTCCTGCCGTGGGTGAGGTTGTTGAGCAACCCTTGTGCTCGTGAGGCACGTGGAACTGCCTGGCACGTGGCACCATGCAGCGCAGCGAGCCCAACTGTCACCCAGCTGCTGTTGCCAGATCCCTCGCCACATGAGGCAGGCGCGGCCCCACATTCCTCTTGTCCTGGTGTGCAGGTCCGTTTGTAGCAGGACCTTGTCACCCCTCCCTCCCACACAAGGACCCTCCTCCCTTCCCTTGAATCTGGGCTGGCCTCACACTTGACCAATGAGATGGCCCTGAAGTGACACCAGGTGGTCTCTGAGACTCCAGAGTTCTCCTGGTTTCCACTTTAATCTTTTGGAATCCCGCCCTCTGAGGAAGCCAGTCTCACCTAAGCCACCGGAGGAGGATAGGGCACCCCACCAGCACCCCCTTCAGCCACATGTTCAAGTGAGGCCACCTCAAGACTCCTGCCCAGGTGGCCCTCCCCCTGAATGGAGCCACTGATGAACCAGCCCAGGTGAGACCAGCAGAAGAAAATCAGGAGCAGTTAAATATCACTGTCATCTCAAACTAAGTTGAAACACCAGACCTTGGGCGGTCGGTTACCCGTCACAGACGGACACATTTACCACCCTGCCCTCCGGGGTTCAGGGCCAGCCTTAGTAGGTGCTCAGTGAACATGTGTTGGGTGGCTGGAGGGCCCAGAGCAGGCAGGCGAGGAAGGAGGCTGTTGGGAGATTGATTCCACAGAGCCCAGGATCAGGTCTTGACCACCAGGAGCTCTTTTTAATTGCTGATTTCATAGACCGTGAGCTTAGGAAGGGAAATGAGACCAGGCGGACTCATCCGGTCACATCGGGACAGCTTGTATCTTTTCTGTAGATAGTGAAAGGATGTCCAAATTTCAGATCCAGCTCCCCTGACTCCTTTAGAAAGGAAAACGTCCATTAATACATTTCAGGAAACTGCGCTCAACGGGTTATCTTCCTTAAGAGTCAGGTCGACCGTTCTGCTTCCCTCGGCCGCAGATAAAGAACGCCAGCTGACGCTTACTTGAATTCTATGGGAAGCTGGAGTTCATCTTTATCGTGTACAACAGAAATCTTAATTTTCCACTTCTGTTAAGCTCTTCTCATTCCTGAGGCAAAACCAGAAGGCGAAAAATCTTCAAAGCTGTTGAACTGTTCACGTCTTCTCGGATTCTAGCTTTAAGATGGAGCTGAGAAGACAGGACAGATTAATTAATCCGAGTGTCGCAAGTGTAATTATTGGCTTTACTCCCCAGATTTTCAATGTAGCAAATTTAGCTGATAGTTAAAATTTGAGGGTTCACGTGACACAAACATTTGTTGATCAATTGGCATAAACCCAAACTTAAATATATATATATATACATATTTCCTTAGATTGGTAGGAAGGAAAAAATAAATGGGCCGATTTTTATAGAAAAAAATCTAATAGGTACCATCCAGAGTTTAAGAAAAGTTAATGGCTTCAGCCTTAATGACTTTTATCATCATTTTTCTTAATTAAAAAAAATTTTTAGTTGAAGGTGGACACAATACCTTTATTTTATTTATTTTTATGTGGTGCTGAGG